ATAGAAGATGGATTTGAACTGATTAATATTCTAAAGTCTCTTTGTTGAAGTTGATTTAAAATGTCATAATTTCTGCTATTTGCATGTGCTTCTTAATTGCTATGGTTAAATATTGTAACATAAATTTTTATCTGAGAATGCTAAATAGATTTTTTTCCTGCTATTAGAAACCATTATATAATATTCATCCTTATAGAGTCAGGTACTTGTAACTTTTTTTTTTTGGTGCCAGTTCTGGGGCTTGAACTCAGAGCATGGGCACTGTCTCTGACCTAATGCTTGAATGCTTGAGCCACTGCTCTAGTTCCAGTTTCTTGGTGGCTTAATTGTAGACAATATTCTCAGATTTTCCTGCCTGTGATGTCTTCAAACTGAGATGCTCATCTTCCTGAGTGGCTAGAATTACAGGCATTAGCCACTGAGTTCCAGTCTCATTCACTTGTATGGAATAAAAGAATACACATTGTGTCCTACACCACAACCTTTTCAACTTGACACTTTTTCCTAAAGCCTTTCAAATTTCTTATAAGCCAATCTTTAATATTTACTACTTATACTTTCATTCTGTCTCAAAATTAAGTATTTATTTTAATGTGCAGATTTTTTATTTTAATGTTTAACAAATATCTTTACATGCTTATTTCCATTCAGAAAGCTATGAGAATTCTTTAAACAAATATTCCTCTGAGGATATCCAGTAAATTGAATAAAAAGTAGAACTACTTTCTACTCTCTATTTAGGTTATAATCTTTCCCAAATCACTGATGATATCTTTCTCAATCTCATTTATTTTACAAAAGCCTATGTGAGTGAAGCTGGGACAGTCTCAGGAATGCTAGTGAACTTGACCAAATTTTTGGAGAGGTAAAGCTCCTCAAATATGGTTGCTATTATTTCCCATTTTTATTCAAAAATTCCCTGGAGGGAAGTTAGATTTTAGGATTTTTAGATTATCTCTAATGCTCTTTATATAATTTCATATGCATCCAAGTTTATACATACATATATATATACATATATATATATATAATACATACATACACACCCATACACACATCTCCATACATATATATATATGTATGTATGGAGATGTATATATGCATATATATATATTTATTTATTTATTTATTTCAGCCATAGGGCATGAACTCAGGGCCTGGGCACTATCTCTGAGCTCTTGTGCTCAAAATTAGCACTCTACCACTCAGAGCCTGTTCAGGTCTGGCTTTGAACTAGCATCCTCAAAATTCAGCCTTCTGAGTGTAAGGTCCACTCCTGGATGGCAAGCAGACTCCACCCTCCTCACAGCAAAGTCTCCACCCATTACTGGCGTTACCTAGGCAACTGGGACACCTGGAAGAGGTCACATCTGCATCTGCTGAGGTCACATCTGAATTTGATGTGACTACACCTTTCCCTGCCCATACCCTAGATAAGGCCTAGGGCAGGCCCAGGCCCAGACTCTCTGTTCTATTCTAGCTCTCTCTCTGTTCCTTTCTAGCTCTCTCTGCTTTCTCTCTAGCTCTTTCCTCTCTTTCCCAGCTCTCTCTCATTCCCAGGCCTTTCCCAGCCACATGGAGTGCCACCCTTGCCTGGTCCCATCAGGTCTACTGAATAAACCTACCCCTTACCTGAATACCACATGTGTGGTGCTGTTCTTACTCGGCTACCTCTTTTGAAAAACCTAACATAAATGGTGCTGTGACTCGGATAAAGGGCTTAAAGTCAGGATAGCTGGGATTCCTCTTTTTTTTCCCTCTTTTTCCTTTTTTTGTTTTTCCCCTTTTTGCTCTGAGGAATACCCACAATTCTGATGGCTTTTTGCGAACCAGTCTGTCCGCGGCGGAATCAGCGCATCGATACCATTGCTGCCTTCACATCCACGTCCACACCACTTCTCTACTCTGGTGAGTGAAACTACTCTCTATGTCTCTCTGTCACTCAGTCTCTGTCCAGACGTGGTGCCACGCCAGAGAGCTCTACGGCCTTTAGCTGAAAGGCTGGTCACCGCTGAAGCCCAGGACGCTTGGCTTTGGGGGCTTGGCCATTTCTCTCTAGAGGGCTCTGGGGGAAGTCAGGATGCCGCTTCTGCCTGATCAGCTCTCCTTCACTCACCGGACTGACTCTCCTACTCATTAATGGGGTGCTGCGAATCATGCCTGAATGGTGAAACCCCTTTGAAATGTCTCATGCGCTCCCTGGAAAGCCAGAGCGCCTCATTTTTATGCCATTCTCAGATGTACACAGTTTTTGCCAATGCAATGGTAAATGGTCAGAAGTCTGTTTACTTTCAGGTTCTCTTTGCTCTCTCTCTGCCAGTCATGTCCAACTTTCTCTATCTCTCACTTTCACTTTTCTACATTTTGGCTTGTGCCCTGAAGAGTGCGATGCAGGCTGGATCCCGGGGACCCCCCTTTAGGTTCCCTCTCAAAGGCTAGCCAATGTAGGCTTGGTCTATTTGTTCAGGCTTTCTTTGCATTCTTTCAGAAATTCGCCATCTTGAATTCTCCATCTTGGCCACATGGTGGGTTAAGGGTTTGGCCCCATGTAACCCTTAACCTTCCACTAAGTTTACTACTCCATCCATCTAGTCTAAGGTGCCTTGCTAACAAGTTGCTCTTTTCACAGGCCCTAGTAACTGAGGCCCAACCATCTGGTGTGCTTTGTTAGCAAAGATGTCTAAACGTTGTCAAAATTTTAGGTTTTGAGTTTTGCCTTTTATGTTTTGTGTTGTGTATTCTACTACTGACTATGTGGTTCTAAAATATTGGGCATATCTGTGCTAAAATTCTCATCACATCTAATGAGTTTTGTCATTGAAGAATATTTGTCGGTCAATTCTTGATAAGAACCAGGTAAGCTCTACTTACTCTACTTGATTTCCTTGTTGCTTTAATTGGAATAATAAAGGGCTTTTGTGGAAAAGATTTCGGTTCAAAGCCAACCTGGGCTGAAAAATCCCTAAGACTCCATCTCCCAACTAACCTGCAATGAACCAGGCTGGAAGCATGGCTCAAGAATTATCTCTAACCACCCAAATACTGGAAGTGCTATTGTAACTCAACGTGGTAGAGCACTAGCCTTGAGCAGAAGTGCTCAGGGACAGTGCCCAGGCCTTGAGTTCAAACCTCCTTGAATACCAACTGGGACAAACATCCCAGCAACAAGCACCTAGACTCAGCCAGTCTGGGGAACAAGGGAACATGGAGAGGAGTAAGAGGAGATGATGTCACATCAGCAACTTTGTGCCTGCCCTTTCAAAATTAACCTGAGCTGGGAGGTCAGTAGAAGTAAGAAGCCTGCCCATCTAGTGTCCATACCTGTCTACCTATTAACTGAACAGGAATTTATATTCTTGCCTTTGTCACCTGACTTCTCTACCTAGTAGCCAGATGTCAGAAGTAGCTAGGGACATTTCTACCAACATTTTCAGCCCCAAGTCCTTCCTCTTGCCATTTATTTGCTCTCTAGTATTTTTTTTTCCAGCCCCTCAATGCTCATGAGACTTCTCCTGACTTCATCTAAGGATTCAACGCCACCAAGGGACAGCTGCTGCTCACTGCCTTCTCTGGGAGGAGACCAAATTCCAGCCTTTTACCCCTATTGTCGATGCCCCTTGTCAGCAGGAAGTAGCCAGAGAGAATCTGCACCCTATTTCATGATTATCAAAAGGCTGGAATGTAAGGTCCACTCCTGGATGGCTAGCAGACTCCACCCTCCTCGCAGCAAAGTCTCCACCCAGTACCTGCATTACCTAGGCAACTGGCACGCCTGGAAGAGGTCACATCTGCATCCACTGAGGTCACATCTGAATTTGATGTGGCCACACCTTTCCCCGCCCATACCCTAGATAAGGACTAGTGTAGGCTCAGCCTCTCTCTGTTCTTTTCTGCTCTCTCTCTAGTCTCTTGCAGCTCTTTTCCAGCTCTATCTCTCTTGCTGCTCTTTTCTAGCTCTCTCTGCTCTTTTCTAGCTCTTTCCTCTCTTTCCCAGCTCTCTCTCATTTCCAGGCCTTTCCCAGCCACGTGGAGTGCCAACCTTGCCAGGACCCAGCAGGTCTACTGAATAAACCTACCCCTTACCTGAATACTACGTGTGTGGTGCTGTTCTTACTCGGTTACCTCTTTTTAAAAACCTCTTTTTAAAAACCTAACACTGAGTAGCTAGGATTACAGGCGTGAGCCACCTGCACCTGGCTCTAAGTTGTATTTGAATAGGGTCTACAACATGTAGGAAAAGTTTGAAAAGTAGCCACACAATGACTATTTATGACATTTTATTTAAATGTCATGTGATAAGTCCTATGATTCTTCACATACACTTAAATGTTATTTAAAAACAAAACTTGGCCTTTAAAAATTCTGAATGTGAAATTATATTTAGATATAGTCTAAAATTACACATTTTTATATCAATTTAGATGTTATTTGATCTCTCAGTCTAAAATATCTCATTAACACAATTCATAATTTGCACTGAATGTGCATGGGTTGTGGGTATACTAATTTGAGTCTATCTGGCATAATCAATAGTAACAAGAAGCAGACCTGATTTTAACTCTGTCATCAACTACTTGTAACATTTTAATTTTCAACAAGAAAGATATCACATGACTTGTGATTACATGAAAACTAAGATGAGTTGATAGCCAAACTTTTGAGACTACTATTTAAAGTTGCCATCGCAATATTTCTTTTCCTATTTACATTCTTACAGTTTTCCTCCAGCTTGGGTGGAGTTGGAAAACACTAAGTTGAAAACACTAAGCCTCAGTGTTTCTATTTTTCATTGTTTCTATTTCTATATTGCATACTTGAAAAAATAGATAAGTATGCTAGTCATGATTTCTTTTATCTTTCCTTCTACATAATCAAATCTGTCAATCCAGAAACCTCCATACAAGTAATTGAATTAACTTTAAGATAGAAAATCAGCAAAATCCTGTGGAGGTAATTAAAAACAAAAGAACAGAAGCTCTTTCTCTGTTAGTTGTACTTGCCTGGGCTTCCTGAGGCATTTGAGCTGCGTCCAGTTTGTCAGCAATATAAGCTGCCAACTGTTTGTCAATGAATGCAAGGGACTCCTGAATCAAGTGTAAGGATTTTTCAATCTCCTGGGCGGACTGGATACTCTGTTCAAGCAACTTTTGCCTTCGCACAGCCTAAAAAGAAAAAAGAAATACATTAACTGAATGTTACTCTCAGTATTTTCCAATCCTGCTGCCCAGTAAAATGAAGATTCTTGGCTCTCCCATATCACCTTTTTGTAAGATAGATTTCGCAACTTCCTGCTACTCATTCAGCTTTGTTTATAAAAAAACACTTTTTTAAAAAGATAAGAAGAAAAAATAATTAGTACCCAGAATGACAGGATCAGTGATCCCAGCAAGGAAAAACTAAAATTAAATAAAAGAGGATCTATCCTATACATCAAAGAAAGAGGCTGGAAAAAAACATTAGCAAAAGAATCTAAGCTACTGCAATCTGTTGTTCTAGTCTGAATGTTCCTCCTGATCTCATTATATAGTTGAAGAGATTTGGTTTACTTAGAATAGGGTCAACGTCATCACAATCCAATTCAAAACAGATAATCCACTTCCACCAGAGAGACACATACACAATCTGTCCAGAATAGGCTCCTTTTCAAAAAGAGAGTTTTAGATAACCATCTGGTTAAGGATTTATTTTGATTACTTTTTCAACCAGCTTTACACAATTGTTTTTCCCTCTAGTTTCTTTTACAATTTGGATTATGGAAATGGCACAATTGGATTTGTGTTACTGCTGAAGTAGAACAAATAATAAGTAATCCTAATATAGCTGCAATTAATCTTGATTGTTACTATAAGTATGATTAGGATAATTTAACACTTTTTGAGTATAAATAGCATGCTGAACAGATTAGAGTCTTTCTTCAAGGATCTGTTCACCTTTAAAAGAGTACTTTTACAAGTAAAGACTAGAGCAGGAACCTTACTGGAAATTTCTTAAATCATTCATCATACAAAGTCACTTTTATTTATATATGAGGTTTAGGTCTTAAGACTAGATTGAGATATTTAAAATGATCTTAACTTTATATTTCATATAGAATATTAAATATTATTTATAGAGAGAATGCAATTTTGGGGTTTAAACTTGAATAATATTGGATATATCATTATTTTTCAAAGAAGTAACTCTAAAACACAGTATTTCAAGGAGATAATTAAAGGTATCTTGATCAAGGGAAAAGGAGACTAAGAGTGTACGAATGCTTCAGAGAAGAGAGATTCCTCATTATTTTCCTGGAAACCATAAATCTTTGCTTCAAGATTTATCCTAAACATTACTTTCTTTTTATTCTACTCAAACCCTTTGTTAGCATCAAAGACAGCTTTGAGATATTTTAGCAACTCTCAATACTCTACCTCAAGTACATATTTCCTGCATGTATGTATGTATGTACATACATATGTACTCATGTATATATCTTGCATGTATGTATATGTCTGTGTGTGCATATATGTGTATACCTTCTGTGAGAATATTTCCACTTGTATGCCCCATAGGCATCCAAATGTAAATAGCTTCAGGGTGTTCTTTTGAAAATGAAATTGTGTCTTGCTGATTAAAATTCTCTAAAGATGATTTTTCTTACAATATACTATGTATTCTTTAATATGGCTTAAAATGACTTTCTGTTGAAGTCCCTGCTATTTATTATCTTTATTTCATTTTCTATAAATACATTTTTTTTATTTCCTAGCATAAACATGTACCATGTCCCTATGGATTCTTGGTCATGTCCCAAACATTTTGTTCAGGACAATCTTAGCTTCATTTTTTTCTTGGATAATTCACCTCTGTTGAACTATCCCTTTTTATATCCCTGACACATTTTATATTTTGAGACTTAATATTTTTAAATATTTATTTTTAATTTAGTAAGTAAAATTGTATACATTTATAGTATTTTATATTTTTATTTTGATATTTTACTACCAAAACATGCATTGGTATTTCTTTATGCTATGGAATGACTAAGCTATTAAGCTTCTTAACAGATGCCTTATCTCATATGTTTATAATTCCCATATTCTCTCTTGAAATTTATATTTGTCTGAACTTGTATTTGTCTTGGGTTGTATATATTTTTAATGTAACACGTTGTAATTTTCCATTAATTGTGCATTAATAGTGTATTTACTGTACACTCTAAATTCTAATGAGGTCAAGGATTATGGTTGATTTATACACTGCTATCAATTCATCAAAAAATGAGAATAGCTTTGTCAATGACTGGATAATGATACAAAACAGGATTAATGAGAAAAATATAAAAAGTTCAAGTAGTTTAAGTCAAGGAATTTACAAAAGAAATTGAAAATTAAAAGGTTACCACTTGCTGAGCAATACATCCTTTGGAGAAAAAATGTCCTATTATTTTCATATCAAAACTATCAGAATAGGGGAGCTTGGGCTGGGAAGATGGCTCAGTGGTAGAGTGCTTGCCTTGCATGCATGAGGCCCTGGGTTCGATTCCTCAGCACCACATAAGCAAAAAGAAAAAAGCTGGAAG